AGCAGTGGGTACCTGACCAAGGCTGATGAAGAACAGCATCAGACCCACAGGATGGGCTGTTATTCAACTCCACATCAAAACGTGCCAAAATAAAAGATTACTAACCAGCTAATTAACTACATAAATAAATCATAAATGAATAAATAAATAGCAGAAAAGTGAAGATAAATACACGCATACATTTGGGACTTAAAACTATGAATAAATAAATACTTGTTTTTAGTTGTGCATATACGTAATGCTACACTTAGTTACTTATTTATGTATTGCTGTCGTCTCCAGCATATATTGATCTGCTGGCTTGATAAGGTGGCTCCCACCACCACTGCTGGCCCACCCTCGGACCACCCAGATTACTGTCCTGCACCCAACCTAGCTAGTTCTCCTCAAACAGAGTTTTATATTGGAAAATATTTCAAACCACTGAGAGAAGAAAACTAGGGCTAGTGTAAAGCAGTTTTGTTGAAAATTGTGTAAAATTATTTGTTTTATTTTTGTTTTGGGTCAAATTTGGGCCGCCCGGAAACTGCTGAGTAAAAAGCCAGTGGGCTGCTAGCTGTGCCGTCATTGGGCCAACAGTGGACCTCTATGCTCTACTGTCTGGGTAGATTTATTTATTTATATTTTTTTCTCCAGAATGCTAATAAGAAAAACTAAACCTACATGCTATTAGTTAATCATAGACAAAACAGCGTGTTTGATTACTCGTGCCTTGTTTTTGAGACGCTGCTTATACTTCAAGGATAGGGGAAGATCTGAGCCGAGACGGTGGACAACTGGACAGTGACTGCGTTCGGTTCCAGGTAGAGGGATTAGTTGCAGACTTGGAGAGCTGAGTGCTGAAGCAGATGTATATTCGTCAGTGAGACGTTTTGTTCACCACAGGATGTGACAGCTACGATTTTTGAAAAACGGTGTTTATTTTCGTGATAGAAAACCTGTTTAGACTCGGAGTGCTTAATTTGGTCACGATGCCGACTACAGAATGATGCGCCGCTTTAGAGCTCTGTACAGCATGAGGGCAGAAGGAGCAGGAGCTCCAGCCCACCCACCCCTCCCACAACCATCAGGGGTCTATCTGTGCACGTGCCTGACTGTGATATTGCCTGAGCCTTTACAGTGATGCTAAATGCTATTATAGTGCACCACAGACTGAGCAGCGCTGTGTTAGTTTCATGATAACGTGTGTGTTTGTGTGTAGTTTGCAGCCATCGACTCAGCAGGACAGTGTTTGGCGGTGGCAGGGAGGCGCGGTTTTGCACACTACTCCTTATTCACCAGGAAATGGAAACTGTTTGGGAATATTACCCAGGTAAAGGGCGTACCTACTTAATTCCACTCACTGGCCACTTTATTAGAAACACTTACCCTGTGCTTCCACTCACTGGCCACTTTATTAGAAACACTTACCCTGTGCTTCCACTCACTGGCCACTTTATTGGAAACACCTGCCTAGTCCTTCCACTCACTGGCCACGGTGGCAGGCCATTCGCCCCCCCACCCCCACATTGCAGAATAAAGTCCTCCTCACAGTGTGCTGAGCCTGAACAGTCTGAACAGTCCTCTCCACTGACCACCGCTTCATTCAGCACGTTCACTCAACTCAGCACTGACTGTTCGCACAGTGTTCGTCCACTTCCTGTAACCGTTGTTTCAAATTAAAAGCCCTTGGAAGAGTATTGTAATTCCAACTTGATTAAATTTTATAAAATTCTGAAACAGCATTTTAGTTATAAGCAACAAGATAATTTTGCAGAAGGAATTTTGCCAAGATTAATATATAGCAGAATAATATTAACCAGCTGCCCTGGGGAAAACGCTCCAACCTGTCTAATTATTATGTTTGTTAAATTATCGCGTTATTAAACGTTTGTTTTACTGTATGTGATGTTTCAGGAGCAGAGTATGACTGTGACGGGAGGGCTCGCCTGGTGGAACGACTTTGTCATTGTTGCCTGTTACAATTTCATTGACCAGCAAGAGGAGGTGACAATTTACTGATTGTTTGATGCTTATTAATTAATTTTGTGCTCTTAATTAATTGCTGAAGTGTTGTGTAGTTGAATTTGGTAACTTTGACACATGTATTTTGATTAGTGGTTTTTTTAGTGTTTAGTTCTGTTAACTGACCTGTAGCCGCTGTATACCACACCGCAGGGCTCGGTGGGAAAGCGTAGCGTGCGGTCAGGAACCTCATCCAGGTTGAACGTGTTTAAGGCGTTTGTGCTGTGTTGATTGAATTGTTTGTCTCGTTTGTAGCTGAGGTTGTATCACCGCTCCTGTAACCTTGACAACGCGTTCGCGAGCATCACGAAGCTGCACGCCGAAACGCTGCTGCTGAACGTGTTCAAGAACATGGTGATCCTCTTCCGCACAGACTGCTCCATCTGCCTGTACAGCATCGAGAAGAAGCAGGACAGGTAACGCTCACCTGGACCTGTTAGAGCTCCAGCTCTGAGATACAAAAGCTTTATTAAAGGAGTACTGCTTTCAGCCGAATCTCTGTCTGCTGCATCTGTATCATACAGTTTAATACAATGGACAGTTCTGTCATTTTCTGCATAATTATGTGGTTAAGATGTAAACAGAGCGGTTCAGAGCGGTTTGGTGTGAAACGCTCTGTTCTAGATAAACTTACCGAGTCAGAACTGTTCACAGTGGTGGTGATAGGAACCAGACGTCCACCTCTAAAAGCTCCCTCACAGAAAGTTACTACATGAAATGGTTATGAATTCACTGCCTGATGACTGAGACACTGTTTTATGATAGTTTTGACGTAAGATTTCGAATTAAATCATATTTCTAAAAATACTTTAATGGTACCGTTGTATATGCAGAACATTCCAAGGTAAAATAGTCCCTTTTTTGAGATTTTCCATTATTTTCCATCATCAACATTCCATATAAGACTCGTGTAGGTTCACTGGTGGTTCTGGATAGTAAATAAAATGTCTGTATTTGTGTTGTAGTCATGGCGACCCCTGGTTCCTATCACCACCACTGTAAAGACATCCAAGTAGATAAGTTTCTCTAGAATGGAGCATTTCACATCAAACCACTCAGAAGAATTTTGTTCACATCTCAGCCACTGAATTATGTAGAAAGTTTGATAAATCGGTTCCCATTCAACTCAAAACTCAATTATAATAAACAAAAAACTGGCTTCTGTTATAAAGCATGGTAGATAGGTTACTCCTTTAACAAGTTCCACTTCTGTGTCACCGATGTGAAGTACTGATCTTCCAAAGCACCAAAATCTAACAGCGCCCTCTTGTGGAGAGTCTTCAGGTTACTAAATGTGAATGAGCCAACTTGGCGATGCTTTATTTGTTCTTCAGACTGATGGAGAATGTGTTGTATGTTGTTCTATACAGAGGCTATTTGAAAAGGGTTCCATAAAGCACCAAAAATGGTTCTTCTGTTGAAGCTTGACGTCATAACCCTTGCTGGTGCTATATAGAACCATATACAAAACTCCATCAATCTGAAGAACCGTTTCACCATGCAAAAACCATTTAAGTACTCAATGTTCATGGTGCTGTACAGAACCATTGTCTTTACTAAAGAACTCTTGAAGAACCGTCTTTTTAAGAGTTTAGTTAAGCACAAGAGGGCACAAATTCACAAAACACACTGAAATAAATGTATTTTTATTTAGTTTTGACCTTTTTTAATGATTTCAGTTCAGAAGATGTTATATATGCAGTTTATCTCAAAATATCTGAGAAATGACTGACAGGACCACAGTCATCATCACAATCTCTCTCTCTCTCTGTCTCTCTCTCTCTCTGTCTCTCTCTCTCTCTGTTTTTCTCTGCAGTCCCAATCCCTCAGCGAGCGTGGAGCTGTTACAGGAAGTCTCCATGTCTCGTTATATCCCTCACCCCGGCCTGGTAGTGTCCGTCACTCTGACCTCAGTCCGCACCGAGACGGGCATCTCCCTCAAAGCCCCACAGCAGGTACACACATCAACACAAATGCATTCGCATAAAAGTGTAACCACACTGTTTTTCTCCTCTCATCAGCCCTGTTTCATGTTTTTTTCCCCTCTTTTCTGTAGGCCTGTACGGCAGAGAGCATATTGTTGAATCTGGCCGGTCAGCTCATCATGCTACAGAGAGACCGTTCTGGCCCGCAGGTACGAGAGAAGGACACAACGTCCAATCAGAAAAAGCTGGTAAGTTGCAAGCCCCGCCCACCTTAATTCTGGAGAATGGAGGGTGAAGTGGCTCTGTGCCTGTGCTATATTAGGGATTTGTTCTTTGTATATTTGTGTAACACTATCATTATTTTGTCTTGTGGCTACTGGAGGAGGAAGAGTGTGTTCAGTGCTGTAGCGTGTGCAGAGACGAGTGTGTTGAGTATGAAAAAAATGTGTTTTTGGGACATTGAAGCCGTAAATCTGTTCTAGTAGACCGAAAAATGAGCATGTTAGGTCCCTTTTAAATGGTCAGTCAGATCGGAAAAGGTTTATAACTTGAAGGATCATTCATGCATAACTCTTAGGTCTTTCCTTTGTGTCCTCCACAGCTGCCGTTCTGCCCACCAGTGGTTCTGGCCCAGTGTGTGGAGAATGTGTGGACCACGTGCCGCACAAATCGCAAAAAACGCCACCTAGTGGAGGCATTGTGGCTGTCGTGTGGCGAGGCTGGGATGAAGGTGTGGCTGCCTCTGTTCCCAAGAGACCACCGAAAGCCCCACTCGTTCCTGTCCCGCAGGATCATGCTCCCCTTCCTCCTCAACATCTACCCGCTGGCTGTGCTGTTCGAGGACGCCCTCGTTCTGGGCGCCACAAACGAAACTCTGCTCTACGACAACCTCGGAGCGAACTCTTCTGCAGAGGTAAGAGAGGTGAGCCTGCAGCCAGAAAGTTGTGGGTCTGAATCCCAGGAGTGTCTGGGTGTTCCTGGTATTCCATTCCGCTGAATTGTGCAGTCGTAACTTTCCCGCTCCTGCTTTTCTTCCACCCAGGAGCCGCTGGAGTCCCTGTTTCCGTTCTGCACGGTGGAACGTACCTCTCAGATCTACCTCCACCACCTGCTGCGGCAGCTGCTGGTGCGTAACCTGGGCGAGCAGGCTCTGATGCTGGCCCAGTCCTGCTCCTCGCTACCCTACTTCTCCCACGTTCTGGAGCTGATGGTTCACGTGGTGCTGGAGGAGGAGGCCACTTCCCGAGAGCCCATCCCGGACCCGCTGCTGCCCACAGTGGCCAAATTCATTACAGAGTTCCCCCTGTTCCTGCGTACCATTGTGCACTGTGCAAGAAAAACGGAGTTTGCCCTCTGGAACTACCTGTTCGCTGCCGTCGGCAACCCCAAAGACCTGTTCGAGGAGTGCCTGATGGCCCAGGACCTGGACACGGCCGCATCGTATCTCATCATACTGCAGGTGAAGGAGAGATGGCATCAGTAGTGTATTACAGTCTGTCAGAATGACTGTGTGGATCATATGAACATTATAGAGCTTTTTAAATGAAACAGTAGAAGCCATATCGCCCCCTACACTTCCTGTAGTGTATTACAGTCTGTCAGAATGACTGTGTGGATCATATGAACATTATAGAGCTTTTTAAATGAAACAGTAGAAGCCATATCGCCCCCTACACTTCCTGTAGTGTATTACAGTCTGTCAGAATGACTGTGTGGATCATATGAACATTATAGAGCTTTTTAAATGAAACAGTAGAAGCCATATCGCCCCCTACACTTCCTGTAGTGTATTACAGTCTGTCAGAGTGACTGTGTGGATCATATGAACATTATAGAGGCTTTTTAAATGAAACAGTAGAAGCCATATCGCCCCCTACACTTCCTGTAGTGTATTACAGTCTGTCAGAGTGACTGTGTGGATCATATGAACATTATAGAGCTTTTTAAATGAAACAGTAGAAGCCATATCGCCCCCTACGCTTCCTGTAGTGTATTACAGTCTGTCAGAGTGACTGTGTGGATCATATGAACATTATAGAGGCTTTTTAAATGAAACAGTAGAAGCCATATCGCCCCCTACGCTTCCTGTAGTGTATTACAGTCTGTCAGAGTGACTGTGTGGATCATATGAACATTATAGAGCTTTTAAATGAAACAGTAGAAGCCATATCGCCCCCTACGCTTCCTGTAGTGTATTACAGTCTGTCAGAATGACTGTGTGGATCATATGAACATTATAGAGGCTTTTTAAATGAAACAGTAGAAGCCATATTGCCCCCTACACTTCATGTAGTGTATTACAGTCTGTCAGAGTGACTGTGTGGATCATATGAACATTATAGAGCTTTTAAATGAAACAGTAGAAGCCATATCGCCCCCTACACTTCCTGTAGTGTATTACAGTCTGTCAGAATGACTGTGTGGATCATGTGAACATTATAGAGCTTTTTATGTATTTTTTTATTCTTTTATTATTATTTTCTTTTTTGCAGCCCTGCTTTGTTGCTAATTGTGATGTGTTGTATCCTCAGAACATGGAGGTTCCGGCGGTGAGCCGGCAGCACGCCACCCTGCTCTTCAACACTGCTCTCGAACAGGGCAAGTGGGACCTCTGCCGTCACATGATCAGATTCCTCAAGGCCATTGGCTCAGGGGAGAGCGAGACTCCGCCCAGCACACCTACCACTCAGGTGAGCTCTCTGTAGTAGTCTGAGACTCTGAGACCTTCTGGTTTTGTCTAAAAAAAAATATGATTTTCTTTTGATAAGAACTAATTAATGTGATGAATTGTTTGTTGAACGTAAAATATAAATGAACAAATATGTGTATATTCATGGCTTTTGGCTGGTGCTCTTATCCAGAACGACTTTACATACCACACTGTAAAAAAATTGCTCATCATTTTAACCTAAAAAAAAAGCTTGATGTCGTAACAAGCAATTGAACTAATTCTATTCAACTCAAAAAATTACTTTCAAAGAATCGTTCATTCAAAGTATTTATTTAGGTTGAATGAAAATAGTTAATTTTCTTGTTACCATGTAAGTAATTTTTTTTGGTTAAACTGAAAAGCCATGTTTTACAGTGTATATTACAGACCTGAATGTAGTGTTGGGAGTCTTGCCCAGGGACTGTTAATGCTATAGAGTTTAGCTGTTGCCTGGGTGGGGAATCGAACCCCAGCCTGTCATGTTTAGCCTGAAGTGTCATGTCTGTTATAACACAACACAGATTAAAAATATATTTACCCTGATTGAATTAAGTTGGATTGACAGCTCAGTGATGGTAGCCAGTGTATTTCCAATGTGTTCTTATTACCTGCTACTTAATAGTAGCTAGCAACAGAAATTCAGTTTTGAGGTCATGCATAAAGGTGAAGTCACACTAGCTTTTTGCCTGTGAGCAAAATTACTTTAATTTTGGTGGACTTGCTGCAGTGAACAGTTTCCCATTAGTTTTAAACCAGACATCCAACACAAACACCTTAGCAACCACCAGGGATACCATAGCAATGACCTCACAACACCTTAGCAACCACGTGGGATACCATAGCAATGACCTAGCAACATCT